GTTACTCTCCATACAACTATTTACCAATATCATACCTATACTCATTAGTCAGGTTTATCTTCCATACTATCTAATTTCCAATCTCATTACAATTCCATTAGTCTAAGGTTTATCTTCCATACATCTATTTACCAATCTCATTATAATTTCATTAGTCTAAGGTTTATCTTCCATACATCTATTTACCAATCTCATTACCATTTCATTAGTCTAAGGTTTATCTTCCATACATCTATTTACCAATCTCATTACAATTTCATTAGTCTAAGGTTTATCTTCCATACATCTATTTACCAATCTCATTACAATTTCATTAGTCTAAGGTTTATCTTCCATACATCTATTTCCCAATCTCATTACCATTTCATTAGTCTCAGGTTTATCTTCCATACATCTATTTCCCAATCTCATTACCATTTCATCAGTCTAAGGTTTATCTTCCATACTTCTATTTACCAATCTCATTACCATCTCATTAGTCTAAGGTTTATCTTCCATACATCTATTTCCCAATCTCATTACCATTTCATCAGTCTAAGGTTTATCTTCCATACTTCTAACTCGTTCTTCCTGTTTGTGATCGTGTTAATTGAAGACATATAACAGCACTGCCTTCAGAGATTTTTGTTGGGGATGGGTGCGGTAGGTGGGTAGATTCTTCCAGGAGCCGCTATGTAACTATTTTTTTAAAAGTATAAATACAACAATATGTGACTTGGTAATGACGGATCCAGGATTTTTACAGCTAGTGAATCTGAGTTTCCGCCGCCAATACATTTTATGTATTTAGAAGGCAATATGAGGCAACAGTTACTGATTAATTTATTTTCGAAAGTTGTTTATTATTTATTAAAATAGAAAATCACTTTAATCATAGGATACAATAAACAGACTCCCCCCTCATTCCTTTAGGAAGACAGTGAAATCTATATAAATCGCCCTCAACTGACCCCATACTGAAAATTAGATGTAGGATAACTTTTACACGCTCAACCGATTAACAGTGCGTTGTACTATAATTCAACAAAACCGGAAACATACGTTTCGGAGTGACTCACCTACAATTTGCGTTGCCGTATCAAGGCGCATAACACCGTTTTTCTGTTTGTATGAACAAAATTATGATAGTGCCATTTTATTTAGTGATTTTGGCCTTTATTTTCATAAAATCATATAGCACAATGGATTCTGAAAAGGAGTTCGATGAACCCATTCGGCGTCCAACAATGCACAAGTAGCCTTTATTTTCATAAAATTATATGGCACAATGGATTCTCAAAAGGAGTTCGATGAACCCATTCGGCGTCCAACAATGCACAAGTAAAAGCGTAAAACTGGTACTTCGTTGTCAAGTTCTTGTATTCTATCAAAATGAATTCTATTCTCGCCTTAATACTTTGTATTAAGTATTAATACTTAATACTGGCACGACTCCCAAACGTAGTGACGTAGCCATATTTGTGTTTTATCAATTAATTAATGGCAGAGATTCAGGTAAACATAGGTTACATATAACTCGCATTCACATCTTCTCACTGAAACTGATGACGTATATACAAACCTTAATTACTGTCTTTACGCATGCTCACATTTCCTTTCCTTCCATTCTAAAGTGAATTAATATTTCATCTTTTAAGCAAGCCATAAAAATAAAAAATCCGAGAACAGTGTGACTTTATATTTAGTAAACCAAAACAAACTTTCTTCTGATGTGTCACAGTAGGTTATTACACAACTAATCCTCAATTTAATCTTCAGCATTCGCTTCCCGCGCTTTTTAGGTTTAAAACGTTTCAAGGACCTTTTCCGG